GGACGAGGCCGTATTCACTACGGCCGCAATGCTCGTATCCGGGTCTTGTGTCGTGATGTGTTCGTGGTTTTCGTTGTTCGTGGTGGGTGTAATCGTGATAAGGGGGGAACTATCGGGAGATAGAGGGTTGTCATCTGTTTCAAGGTGATTAGGATTAACTGGACTCTCGAACTCACATTGCGGGGATGCTAACGTGTCAGAATTGACACACATCCCCTCGTAATTGTGCCTAGCGTCCCTCATGGGGTCCAACGAGTGGCCAGATAAGGGTGTTTTCGGCCAATACGAAACCAATGAAGTGGTTGCAACGTGAGTCTCGGCTGGGTGTACCATACTTTTACTCCAGTCAATCAGGTGAAAGTTTTTCTTGATCCATGGCATGCCAAGTATGCCGTCGTACGAGTCTTTGAGTCTTGTAATGATGAATGGGGTCGGTAATGGGTCGGATTTGATAAAAAGGTGGGTCTTGAAGGAAGATTGGCTCTCAGAGCCGTCGAATCCAGTGATCAATTGGTCATGTCGATCAGCACCGGCTATCAAGCCAGCGTGGTAGGCAAATGATTCACTGAGCACATCGTGCGTAGCACCTGAATCAATGAGGAACGTAGCGGGAAATGTTTGGGACGGTGTGGCTCGGGGAATTTGGGACATGGATAATGTGGTGTGTAAAAAAATGCGCGGGTCGTTTGTATTGCACAAGTTCATTCTACTAGATCCCACATTAATTGATGACAAATTCTCCAGGTGGCTCAGGATGGGCACAACCTTCAATCCTGAGCTTCTCCATTTTTTGAAGTTTCAGCTCGTCCTACTCCTTCTAAACTACTGGTATGATTCACCCTCTGATTACTCAACTCTGCGACTTTAATTTCCAATCCAGCTATTTTTGATTGATAACCACCTCGACCCTTCCCTTTCCTACTAGCTCTACGATCGGGACATGCGCTGGAGATGTGACCCTGGCCATTGCAGCGGAAGCATAAACCCGCTCGCATACGTCGTGCTCGTTCCTCTTCGGACAATCTAACGTAGGCGGCTGATAAATCCATGGCATTGGGGTCTGAGATTCCTGCACTCGTGCTTGGCGTATGGAAGGTTGGGTTGGTCGCGCCGTGTAATTTACTGTCTATCTTGATAGCTAAATTAGTGATTTGTTCAATTGACGTGAAATCCTCTTGCGTCATAACCATTGCCACTCTAATCTCCTTTTTCAAACCTTGCTCGTATTGACTAATGAGCGTCGGAGTTTCCCAGCCAGTAGAAGTTGCGTGAATGTTAAATTCATGGGTATACGCGGCCACGGTGGTCTTCTGCGATAAGTTTCGCAGCGCGCGTTCCGCCTTCGATTTCTTCTCAGTATCGAAATACATAGCTTTAAAATTTGTAACGAAGCGTTCAAAGGTTACGAGGTGGGCGGTAGCGGGGTCGAATAACTCCTTTGTCAAGGGTTGCGCCCAACTGCTGGCTGCTCCCGTGAGGTAAGACAGCGAGAAAACCACCTTACTTCGGTCGTCGGGGAAGAGGTAGGGGTGTGCCAGCATATAGAGCTGGACTTGACTCGCAAAGATCTCTGCGGGTTCGCCTCGAGTGCCGTTGAATTTATCGGGCGTCGAGACTTTGGGGCCCTTCAGGACCGGTTCAGCTGGTGGTGGCTGTGGCGCAGTGGGTGGTTGAGTGGCTGCAGCAGGTGCAGATGGGCCTCGGGATTCCAACGCCGCTAAACGAGCTTCGGACTGCTGGTATCTGGCTTCAGCTTGTCCTCGCATCAGGCGTTCTTCAGCCAATGAGGTGGAAAGCTCCGCAAGCTTGCGTTGTATGTCTTCGAGAGAGGTCATGTTGGTGTCAGACATATCGATCTCGCTACCGGTAAGGCTAGAATCGGCGTCGAGAAAAGGGATCGGAGTTTCACTATCAGAGTCCTCCTCCTCTAAAGGAGCACGGTAAGATGGAGACGTGGTTGCGTTTGCTAGTCCAGGGATCACAGTCGGGATCGACAGAGTTTTTAGTAAGTAAGATAAGGTTCTGGTGGATTCGGTTTCAGCGTATGCAGATTAGTTAATAAGGTTTTCGATTTCGAATAGTTTCTTGGGTCTTTTCAACTTTGAATTTCTGAGATCTAGATAAGGTTTTCTAATGAGGTCGAGATTCGCTAGTATTCTGAATCTTGAGGTTCGGTTTTCTTTCGATTTAAGTCAATTCTACTTGTTTCTTCTTGGTGATCTATCTATAGTCCTTGAGTCTCGTCTATAGATCCGACAATATGTTATGGACAGACTTGGGGGTTTTCGGCGACGAGGGTCAAGGGAGTTCTGGTGAGGATTTGTATCTATTACCAGTCTTCCTATGTGGATTGTCGGATGAGGGAAAATCTGTACAGGCAATGTATCTACAACTATAAGATGGTTCTCGAGCTTGTGACATGTAATGTGAATATGTCACTCAAGTGAAATAGAACCAGTTCATAACATAAACCTAAACGTAGTGTAATTTGTTCATATCACTACAAATTCAATGGTTCAGGAGTTTAGTATTAACCGTTAATATTGTTATTATTACTTATACTTAATTACATATACGTGTCAAATATATTATGTAGTATAAGCATTTCAACTCTTGACACTGAGTTACTACTATTTTGTTATATGTTTGAGCTTGAGAAAAAATGGAAAAAGTTACAGCTTGTGTTTTTAACTGGATTTAACACAGCAAACACTGTATTGTTTTGTTTTCAGTGGTGAATTTTGAGGTTTAACCTTCTTTAGGGTAATAAAAAACTTTCTTTTCTTTTCAATGTCCAACATCACTGCCAGCATAGATGCCTCGGGTTGAGAAATCCGAGGCATCATCGGAGGCAAATCCTCGGACAGACCTTGTCCGAGGTTTTTGCCCGAGGTATTTTTTTGCCCTGAGAATTACGTCGGATCAAAACCTCGGGAAGCTTCTGTCCGAGGTTTTGCATCCGAGGATACCTCAGATTTTGTAATCCGAGGATAGCTATGTTGGCGGTGCATATAATGGAATAGCTGTATGAGGTGAAATTGATATTTTATTACATATTACATGTGGTTCTGAGTGCACATGTATATGTAATTAGTGTGTGTACATGTCTTATTACATGTTACATATATTCTTTAAGCTTTATTTGAATGTAATTAGGTTTCTTAAGGGTTGGTTATATGTTACAAGTTAGTCTTTGGGTACATGCATATGTACTCAGGGCTGACAAGTTTGTCAGCTTTCCGCCTGATTTTGGTGTTTTTTGCAAACTTCACAATTGCAGTGCTCTGTGAGTTTTGAATCAAGTTAGAAGCAGGCTACACACATGTGTGTACATTAAGCGGGCACACAGCTTTTTTCTTTGGTCACAAGGATATCTGTTTGCAGAACACACAGATATGGAGCGTTGAAAAAGTCCCCAGCCAAACTTCTGTGACTCATTCTGTGACTCATACGCCAAAGTCATGGTATAAGGTCCAGGCACAAATTTCCCACTTTCTTACCTGAAATTCTACTTCGGGTGGATTTAGCATTTGGGATCACTGCACAAGTTTCATTTAAGCTCAAGTATGTTCCTTTAAGTTTGAGTAAACAGGGTGTCATAAGCTGACCTATCTAAACCCATGTCATCTTTGGAATGTTCCACCCAATGTGACCTTTGTCCTGATGTAGTTGTTGCAACCAATGGCATCTTGGATTTGTCATAGCAATAACAGTTCATCTCCCCAGCGTAGAAAAAACACACCAATCAGGATGGATATCAATTTTTATGACTTGCGAGGAAAGATAACACCAGAGCACTATATGCATAGCACATATATACCCAATCATACATTCCTTGACCTTTCACAGAAAACCAGGTACAACCAGTTCTCCAAGGATTCCTCCAAATCCATAACTTTGAGGCGTCATTTCACGTCAAAAATCAGGCACCAAGAAACCCAAATGAAGAGACATGCAACATAAAGCACTCTTTGATTGGTAACAGCTTGAAAATCCGTATGAGACCTGCTTGCATAGTAAGAAAAATTCAAGTTTAGACATACGAGTTTCTATTTTTTTGAAAATCTTCCAGTTTTGGTTCAAGCATGCAAGATCAAGTAGAGATGTGCAACAACGTTGGTTTTCAGAGGTGTGGGTCCTGGTGGTTCTCACTCAAACCTTATGAGGCTTGACAAGAAGAATAGTCGATTATGTAGACTGCACAACACGTTTCGAAGTCCAAATTAACTACCATATGAGACGTAAAACATAAACAAAGTGGAAAACAAGCCACATATCGTATTTTCGTGATAACAAAAAGAACACGAAATTGCGCCTGGTCTCTATCAAGGTATAAGTCCCCCTCCCTCGATAGCTACACGTTTGTCCGAGAGGGACTGTTAAGTTAGAGATGAGACAGAGTTTTGTTATGTAGCAACAGCGTGAGAGCTGCTGTGCCGCAGTCGTGTACAACTCATGTGACACAACACTGCGTACAAGCGGCTACAAATTGCGATCTGCTAGAAAACTTGGCAACCCTTCAAATGCTCTCGCGTTAAATTCCTTCCACAGTCAGATAATCACTTCGCGCAGCCAGAGCAAGTCCGGTCACGAATCCACGATGAATGAAGATTCACAAGAGGGTTGATGAAGGTTGATGCGTTTACTTCATGTACACTAGTACATAGGTAACTGCGCCTGTTCTCACTCATCATCTATTGATCCTCCCACTGATCCGCGTGCCCATGGGGCCATAAGCCACACCAATCACTATAGGCCTGCGTGTCCCCACCGTTGCGCGCCTAGGATATCTCAATGGCAATCATGTCGGCTGAATCGCGTGCGTGATGATATGTCAAGAGATCCTTTCGACATGCGTAATGAAGCTCGCACGACTTAACTGCGGTTTGGGCACTGAGTGCGAATTCAATCCTTATGCGACGTATATTATAAACTCTTTCAGCATGGACTTCCACCCCATCTATTCTGGACCCAGCGTTCAAACTTCAGCCCAACTTCTCATCAAAATATGTTTTTCTATCGAATCTTCCTTTTGATCCTTGACTTGAAGCTCCTTACGGCTTCTCATGATAACACGCTCGCGAACCGACAACAGGAGAACAAATATCCCGACGTAGTATCATGCCTGAAGGCAATCGAAGACCCGCTTTTAACGCCAGAATCTCCAGAGTGGACGGAGGCGATAAAGCCTTATAATTTAAGAATTGCACCTATTCCCGCAGCCGTCATAACGCCCAAGGATGTCAAAAGTGCTCAGGATGTAATGGCTTGTGCAAGGCTTTTTCCTGGGACTCGACTTTCACCTCTCTGCGGCGGTCACTCTTTCGTGTCTTATGGTCTAGGCGGCACCGACGGTGCAGTAGTCGTAAGCATGAAGAGCTTCAAGAAAATTCAGATGGTGACACCTCGCGTTGTGCGAGTCGGTGGTGGAGTCCTAGTGCGAGAGTTGACCGTCTTTCTACTCAACAATGGTGGCCTTCAGTGGGCTCACGCAAGAGGCTCGGAAGTTAGTTCCGATTCTCGCACCATTGTATTTTTGTCTTTGTACCTTGAGTTCTTGTCATCAAAATGACCTTTGCTTATTGAACACACATTTTATTATCTATAGGTCGGGATCGTTGGTTCTGCCATAGGCGGAGCTGTGGGTACCGCCTCCAGGCTCATAGGAAGCACCCTAGACACTGTTGTGGTTAGTTGCTGTGTGGGCCTCTAGGAGCGACTGTGCTATCTATTGATGATACATCACTTGCACAGGCGCTCGATATAATCTTGCCAGACGGCAACCTTACCCATGCAACAGCTGAAGAGAATGCAGATATTTTCTTTGTAAGCTTCCACTTGATATCGCGAGATTCACTCAGCTACCTTAATGTGCTGAGTATTGTCACGACAGGCCGTGTTGGGTGCCGGTTCAAGTTTTGGTATTATCACCTCACTTGATATCAAAGTCTTTGAAGCGTACCCGAATCCAGTGACATACAAGTATCAATGGGACAAACCTACACTCAATCAATCAGTAATGACTTTCAAAGCTTTCCAAGACTACGGTATAAATCAGGCGCCACCTGAGTTGTACATACGACTGGGAACGGCCCTTCCAAGTAACGTGAGATATGAAGGTTTGTAGTCACAGCTTTTTGTTCGTGACGTCCTGCCATTCAGTCTATGACATTACCAACTTTTGCGCATGTCTTACCTTGATGTTTCCAGGGGTATACTACGGTGATATCAAACAATTCGAAGACATCATGAAACCCCTACTCAGCCAACTCTCGCCACCTGATGTTGCAAATGCTACGTACGTGTACCAGCCACGTGTTATGTCTTACAGCTTATGCTCAGTTTTGAAGGCTGATAATAATCACCTCTTGTTTCTCCCACGCAGAGCAGTGACGTATGCCGAGTCTGAGGTAAGTGACACGACGTTTTTTGGTCTCTCTTGTCTGCAAGAGCTCACCCAATGCGGGGGTTCTCCTTTGAACCCACAGGTGACGCTTTCAGGGTCTCTTGACGGCCCACCAGCAACTCGACCTAGTGCTGCGACGTATACCAACTCTCTGTTGACGTTCGAGCCCATACCAGATAACACGATCCAAGAGTTCATGTCAAACCTGATGGCAAGGAGCGAAGAAAAGAAATCTATAGATTTTGTGGGTACTACTACTGGCATCTGGTCAACAATCCTTCGCTGATAGCTGATTCGTGTTTTTCTCTATGGCAATCAGAGGATGCAGCAGTTTTTTGATTTATGGTAAGCGCAGAATCATTGAATCCAGGTGTTGAAACATTTGAGGGAAGATGTTGTCATGAACCACTAGCTGATTGTCGATTATGAATCTACGTTTCTATATGCCAGGGGTGGATATGAATCCTACAACAGTAAGATGACAGCGAAAGATGAAGGGACATACGCATTCCCACACACCAAGGCTCTTTTGGTGTTCAGAGCTGATGGAGTGCTAAAAAATGCAACCAATATTGGGGCTTGGCCGAGCGATGGAATCAGCTTTGTACAATCTTTTACCAAACCTTTGTTCGATAGTCAAAAATCTCCTAGAAGTTATATAAACTATAGGGATAGTGCTTATACTGAAGAACAGTGGTCTAGCAGAGTAAGCATGAAATCCCCAAAGAGCCCGATGAAGATCTGTACTCTGGAGGCTTCAATACTTTTGCTAAAGAATTCTGTCTTACAAACCTTCACTTTCAGTATTATTCCGATCAATACCCAAAACTTCAACAAATCAAAGCTCATTTGGACCCAGCAGGTATCATGTCAGCTAATCCTCAGAGTATTCAACCAAGCCCTGGTGGTGTTTAAGATGGACACCATTAGCTTATACTTCTCACTGATGAAGAAGAATTAAAAGCTATTCGAACTACTTTTTTGTTGCAATGTCTTTCTCATGTTTTCATCTACCATCTTTATTTGATTGGTAGTTTATCTGATTATGAAAATCATAAAATGTTCCAAAGTTCTGACAAGACATTTTATCTGTGTGCTATATGCGCTCAAGAGTGTTGATGTGTGATTTATTGGGATGCTGTGTTACGCGCGTTATCTTCTTAGAAATTGTGGGTGCACGCCATGCTTGTCATGGGAGAATGGCACACTACAATCAAATATCTTACTCGCATCTCTTTCTCATTGAAGTCAGCAATTCCAACTGAGCCTGTCACCTATTTGCTTTGATGAATGTGGGAAGCTCCTCTAAAACCTATATAACTGTGACAAGCTCTGCTCTGTGGGGAGAGCAACTTGAATTCCTATAAACTTTGGTATATACTTCTTAGCTGGATGTTCAACATGAGTGACCTATAAAAGGGAAAGAGGGAAAACCTGATGACCGCTGACCACTCTGCCAAGATCTGCAAGGTCAGACGTCAATAACCGGAACTGCGTTGGTAAAGGCCATATCGTGATGTGTCGTGTTATATCCATCAAGCTACTCACATCACTTCAAGGTTTTCTTAAGGTCCGCCCTTTGGTTGGATGCTGACAGATGCTGGCCTGCGGAAAGGTGTCTAGCTCACATCCATCTGCGCAATGTTACGCAGCACGCGTTGATTACAAACACAAAAACTGATTTGAAAAAGTTCATGATTTCAAGAAGATCAAAGGTCTTACAGTGTGGTGGCAGAATTCACACAGTTGCGGTTTGGGCGCCTGAATGATTAACTTGCATAAAAAAGCTATCAGGGTGGCAGTCAGTGGTTAGGTCCAGCTGGGACTTGTTTGAGTTTGGGCTTCACCGCGCTTTTGACTTCTCTTCAGTCCAATCTTAGCCCACGTTTTTCATTGAAATATGTTTTTCCATCTAGTTTTTCTTTTGCTCCTTGGATTGGAGCTTCCTGCATACACCATGGACACTTGGATGTCCGACAGATGTCTGATTTTTTTGGTGGGGGACAAATGTTTTTGAACAGGACAGAGACAACACCACCGCGCTTCGCTCCGCTGCGCTATAAACGCGATTTTTGCAAGCGGAGCGATCCGGAGCTATAGTTAGTGGCCAAATCGCTCCGCTCTAAATCTTGTGTAGCTATGACTTTTCAGAGCGGAGCAATAGTTTGTCCCGCTCCGCTCCGCTATGCGCAAAATTTGGGACAATTAGCGCTCAAGAGCGCGGTCAAGTATTGTTTATGCCGGTTCATTTATATTATCATTGTTTGGCAGAGTGGGGGTGAGGAGGGTGATATTTGGGTATTGAAGAAAGGTGACAAATGCTACACCCTCTGCAAATAGACAACTTACTACTTATATCTATCAGTTCAATACTTCGGAACTGCAGACACGAGTAACTGAATCATACCAATCGAGGCAACAACGTCAAACGGTTTCAAACTTGGTTGACAAGCTTTAACGCATACATCAATCAATTGACTTTATAACCTTGATTCATTAACCGATATAACAAAATATGTAAGGAGGGGGAGGATTTCGTGGTGGAGGAGGTGATCGTGGTGGAAGAGGTGCACCGAGAGGTCAAGGAGGAGGAGGTGGGTTTAGAGGTGGTAGAAGCGGATTTGGTGGTCAATTTGATAATGAACCACCTGCTGACACCGTAAGCAGGGTAGTGACGTTTCCGGGGCTGCGACAGTTTGACGCTACACAAGCCCCGGATTACATATGAGCTGCGACATGTCAAATTTGGCCAGCGTCAGTACCGTATGTACAGCGACAGCATAGCCTGATTTCGTAATAGGCTGCGACAGTTCACGCCCGTCCACTAACCTTGACCTATCAGTATTGACCCTTCCAATTGACACACCATCAACGTTCATCCATCAACACTCATCAGAATCAACGACAATGATTGTGTGTACGTGCTCACGCTGCATGACCAAGACATGTACCACCAAAGATGGACACAAGCAGAATGGCCAGTTCGTCACTCGTCAAGTTCAATTGCGACATCATCTCGACGACTTACAAGGCCCTTCAGCCCATACTCCAAGCCGTGAGGCCTCTCCAGAACCGCAACCATTGGACGATGATCAAGCTTCCCACTATGCTGCGTTGGATTCAGCATTTGAAGAATTACAACTGGATGGGCGAGACCCGTCACTAACAGGTAACCTGTCTTGATCTCACCATTCATATCAAATCAGATATTACAGCTTGTATATTCCACACTAACTTAATTTCTGCTCGTTAGTCATGACTCTTGTTGCCCTTTTTCTTGGATGGTTGCACTTATTCTGCGGAGTCAGTCGTGCAAAGTGCAGGATGGCCAGGGATTTCATTCTGGAAATTCTAGGCCTGGCTCGGCATCACCCAATCCTAGACGATACTGATCATCGAAAACTTCCGAAGGATATCCGCACTACGCTCAAAAATCTACAAATCAATCCAGAATTGGAAAAAAAAATTTGCTGTCCAGTATGCTTCACTCTGTACGATCTCTCCAACGCACCTTGGCGCTGCAAGTACAAGAAATCTCCAATGGCTCGAGTATGTGATGAAGAGCTCTTTGAGCTGAAGACTGTGTATCGAGGCATCCGTGACCAGGGGACATCTCAAAAATACCCCAGCATATTGAAGGACCTTCCACCATCAGAAGTTGGTTATCCTCGCAGCGTCTATGTTACTCAGAAATTATCTTCGTGGCTCAGTTGGTTTCTTTCCAAGTCGACTACCGAGGCCGACATATTAAACTGGTCAGATGAGGTTGCTTCCTCTACCGAGGATAAAATCTTTGATATTCAACAGTCCGCAGCATGGAAGGATGTAACGTGGCCAACTCCTCCTTCGTCAGGGCCCGAGCCCTTGAACCTTGTATTCTCTTTATTTGTGGACTGGTTCAACCCACGTGGTAATACCCAACGCGGAGCTCAGCAGTCAATGGGTGTATTGGCATTCAATTGCCTGAATCTTCCTCCCTCTTCACGAAACCTGATTCACAACACATGCGTGGCGGGCATCACACCAGGCCCAAACTCCCCAGACATGACGACCATCTCTCACGTACTCGAATCACTTGTCGACGACCTACTCTTGCTCGAACGTGGGATTTTAATCAAAACTCGTCAATTCCCTGATGGTCGACTTGTCCGCGTCAAGTTATTGTCGCTTTTAGGTGACACAGTAGGCATGCGTAAGGTTGCAGGGTTTGCATCTCGGGGTATTTGACTCGGATTGCATCTTGATGTAGAGCGTAAGCTGATGAGAAGACACAGAGATTACAATAAAGAAAATGGGTGTGTAGTAATTGTGAAAAGGTATATCTATGTTGAGATGACAAGATTGAAAAAAGTTCTATGATGGGAAGCAAGGCGCGGAAGGGTTGAAGAAAAATAAGTCTTCTTATAGGTGTTCAGGTATGCGTTTGAAGGAACATAGAACCCTGACCTTCTCCAATAGATTCCCAGCCCATTCTTGATAAGGGTCTTGATGAGCCAAATCCATTGACTCCTTTGTCTCTAGTGAATCCCTTTGGGTTGTTGTCTTGTACTGGACCCTGGTCAATCAAAAACGGAAGATTGATCAGTGTAAATTGATTAGCGGTTTGGAATTCCTTTTGTATTCATTTTCATGAGCTGACAATGGGTAGGTTCCAGAAGAAATCTCTCGAATGATCTTTGACAGGCGTCGGATGAGCGTTGATTGTGTCAGTGTGTCAATTGATAAGGGTGAGGTTGGTCGAGGTTAGTGGAAGGGCGTGAACTGTCGCAGCCTATTACGAAATCAGGCTATGCTGTCGCTGTACATCCGGTACTGACGCTGGCCAAATTTGACATGTCGCAGCTCATATGTAATCCGGGGCTTGTGTAGCGTCAAACTGTCGCAGCCCCGGAAACGTCACTACCCTGCTTACGGTGTGAGGTTTTAGGTTTGAGATTTTGGTTCTTTCACCTCGTTTTCAAAACAAAAGACCAACGAATAATGCGCCGACCCGGTCCGGAAAAACCGGTCCGGGACCGGGGCCGGGACCGGGTCACGCGGGTCTCGGCAAGGATTTGGCTGGATCCGGGTCAACCCGGACCGACCTGCTCATTTGGTAGGGGGGGCAAGTTTTGGTGAAAAGGGCTGAAAACCGACGAAACTCATCTTAATTTCTTCAAAAATCATGTATAAAAGACACTTTAAAAGACACTTTTGTTTCTTAGTTGTAGGCTAGATACTGTTAACTAAACAATTCTAGATATAGAAAGTTATAGAAAAGAAAATCATTGAAAAAAATAAACCAATTGTAGTGAACACCTTGTTCCAAGTCTTGAGGCATACAAGCGCTTCAAATGTATCTGATTTCAGACCGTGGCGACGTTTAGTGAGAACTCTTCCTCCAGCTGAAAAGGCGCGTTCGGAAGGAGTGCTGCAGGCTGGAACCGAGAGGAAGATACGAGCCATGTTGGATAGCAAAGGATATTTCTTGGAATTTTCATTCCAATATTCCAAGGGATCACGATTGCCTGGCTCTCGAGGTTCAGCAAGGTAAGAGAGAAGTTCTACATCTAAAGTTCGCTTCGTCTTAGGAGCTGATATAAAACATCGAGGTCCATCATCTTCAGCTTGGGTGAATGAATTGATATCTTCATCATCTTGCTCGGTGGTTGGAATGAATTGGCGAGCCTCTTTCAAAAAGGTGTCTCGCCAATCGTCTTGATTGATAATTCCAGCTCGCAGGAGAGTGACCGAAGAAAGTTCTTGGTCCTTGCTGCGAGGGTCCAATAGGTGAGCACAAAGATAAACGGGTTTGAGAACAGCTTCGTTAAAGTATTCGGTCAGCTTGGTCTTCATTGGAGCAATGGCTGGCCGGATCGGATGGTTTTCTAACATGATTAAAGCCTATTAGGGGATTGTAATCACTGTCAGCTTGATCATAAAATTGAATACACAAGTTGAAAATTTCTTACCTTTTCGAGTTGAGACTCAAGCCACTCATAGACAGGCAAGACAGCATCAAGACTGGTGTAAGTCGACTGAGACAGCATGTTGGTGGCTTTTTCAAAGGGTTCAAGGAATCGAGTGAGGTGGGCAAT